TCTGCTCCATGTTATAAGAGTGCACTGTGCGCCCCACACGCCTGCCGTCTGCTCCATGTTATAAGAGTGCACTGTGTGCCCCACACGCCTGCCATCTGCTCCATGTTATAAGAGTGCACTGTGCGCCCCACACGCCTGCCATCTGCTCCATGCTTCACAGCCACCGACAAATTCCTGAGTTCATGACCAGGCGTGTGGGAGGCAGGTGGTGCTCCCTTTCCTCCTCTGCTCTCTGCCTCCCTCACTTTCTTTCTTCTTACCTACGGCTGGACTCGGGGACTTGCCAATGCTAAACGTGTGCACTATAATTTAGCACACCTCCTTATCTTATGTAAGAGAAGAAAGGCTTTGGTAAGCTGTTATATAAGTGGGGGTGCACAGATAAGAGGTGGGACTAGCCTTGACCCCACATGGTCTCAACCACATTAGACTTATAAGCCAGGGCGCACAGATAAGAGGTGGGACTAGCCTTGACCACACATGGTCTCAACCACATTAGACTTGCGGACACTCTAGTTTCCTTGTGAGAGTGCAGGGCACTACATTAGCTGCGTATAAAGTAACTTCATTAGATAGCTGTGGTGTGGCCATCTTTATTTTTAGACTCTGACTCACTGTTGTTGATATAACCTGCTCTGGACCAGATAGACCGCTAGCAACATCAAGAACCATTTTATATTCAGCACATTCCTAAAATTTACTATCTCATCTGACACTATATACAACTGATTTAAAGTAGATATGTGATACTGTTTCAAGCAGAACTTTTTCAGACAATCAATATTTTTTTTTGAGGCATGGTATTTTTCTTAGAAGGATAAATGTTGATTTAATGAGAGACATTTTGATTGAGTATCCATTATTTTGACTGAACACATTATTTACATAATACTAATATTTTAATAGAAGATACACTTGGATTTTATAAGAATCTCTTGTCACAAAATCAAAATAAGTACTGCCTTTCAAAGTAGCTGTCTTTTAGAGCCTATCTACTTAGTCAAATTGAATTGAAAACTATTTTAGAATCTATTTTTGAAATGGCATTCCATACTAGAAAAGTCAGATTTTCAAATGACTAAACAGCACATATCAAAACATCAACTCTAAAACATTGTCTGAACAGACCTGGTGGTGTCTACAGTACTACACTGACAAACTGACCTACAGCACTATGTCTTTAAACACAGACACATTTTTAAGAACGAGTAGAGAAAGTGTGAGAAGCACACACAGACAGAAGGCTCTGAACTGTTGAATATTCCATGTAACAGAGCAGAGCCCGGCAATGGATGTGCTTTAAATAAGCAGTGGGTCACAACACAGACTGCAGGGAATAAACACTCTAATTCTGACTGTACAAGGAATGAACAATCCCTTTCAAAGAAACAAGACCCAGGGAACAACACACCAACTGGATGTCCAATGCCAAACAGTCAGCCCTGAAAACACAACCTGTTGAGTCCATATAACGTTACTTGTATATATATTTGGGATACACACACACACACACACACACACACACACACACACACAGAGAGAGAGAGAGAGAGAGAGAGAGAGAGAGAGAGAGAGAGAGAGAGAGAGATAGAGAGAGAGAGAAAGAGAGAGAGAGATATGCATGCACTAACAACTCACGGAAAAAGAGACCATGAATTTGAAGGAAAGCATGGAGGAGTATATAGGAGGGTTTGGAGGGAGGGAAGGGAAGAGGAATGTTGTAATTAAAATATAATCTCAAAATAAAAAGGGAAAAAGAAAGTAGAGAGAACAGCTCAAAGTCTACTCTCCTGTCCATGTTTTGATAAGTAACAGCTTTCACGGTAACGTGAATAGGTGATTTGTATTTAAACACACACATACACACACACACTTATAAACACACATACATATACATACATACACATATACATACACACACATATACACACACACACACACATACACACATATAATGTTCATAAGACAATCTTTGGCTTTTATCATGAGCTGTAGAAATATAATGACTATAACAACACAGTAAAAAATGAATGAAACAGAATAAACAAGTAGTTGTATACCATGATGTAAATATGATGAAAAAATAGGTACTCATGTGCAGAAAAAGACACTCAGAAAGTGTTTTTCACAAGACTTTTCTATAACATATTAGTGCCTTTAAGAGGCTGAGGGAGGAAGATCCCAAAATAAGTGAGTTCTGGGAAAGCTGGGGATATACTGAGACCCCATCTCAAAACAAATGAACAAACAACAACGCCTCATTCTACTGACTCCTTTAAATCACAATGTAGTTGCTGTAACAAGGACAAAACACCATGCCAGACACAGGCTGCCTTAACCACAGGTGCTTTAAAGACCTCCTGTCATGCACTGCACTCTCTCTCATATGTAGACTCCAAATCCTCCTCCCTCTTCCACACTTACAATCTCAGTCTTCATGTGTTTGGTCACGACTAACAATGACACTAAAATATTCCTGGCAGGCGCAGGAAGGAGGAAGGAGAAGGGAAAGGGGTATCATTATATTTTAACTATACTTGGGACTCCACCACCACCAGCCGAGTGAGGTGGGGAGGGTGACAGAGTAGAGGACGTGCTGCGCTGCTCTGCACGGTCCTCTCGGGAGGACTGTCATACCGACTTCCTGATCACTGCCTTGCTCTGAAATGGAACACATGCTGCCACAGCAGACCTTTGGTAGAGAGATAAATCAGGGAGCAGTGGCTGGCATTAGAAATATTAAGGGGAGTACACGTGCTCTGTGACCACAGACATGCTTACTCCTTACACAAGTGCACCATGATTCACGCACAGTATTATTTATGCACTACTACTAACAATCAAATATGAAGAATAAATACCTACGAAAGGGGGTGACTAGTACCAGGTACCCTGCAATGTACTACTACACAACAGCAAAGGCCCTCTAGGAAGGCCCTAGTGCACAAGCAGCATACGGAACGGTGCCCGTGTGTGTGTAAAGGGAGAACTAGACACGTGCTTTGACACACACGAGTCCATCTGGAAGCACAGGCAGACAGCACAGAAAGGTGGGCAGCCTTCAGTTTCATCTGTACGTTTCCTTCCATGGTGTCAGTTACCCACCATCCACTGTGGTCCAGACATCAGACAGAACATTCCGGAGATAAGTATCCAGAACTTTTCCATTGCCTGCCATTCAATTACCAAGATGGCGTGTCATGCCATCACACACTCCTCCATCACACACTCCTCCATCACACACTCCTCCATCACACACTACTCCATCACACACTCCTCCATCACACACTCCTCCATCATCACACTACTCCATCACACTCCTCCATCATCACACACTACTCCTCCATCACACACTCCTCCATCATCACACACTCCTCCTCCATCACACACTCCTCCTCCATCACACACACTCCTCCATCACACACTCCTCCATCACACACTCCTCCATCACCACACACTCCTCCATCACACACTCCTCCATCACACACTCCTCCATCATCACACACTACTCCTCCATCACACACTCCTCCATCACACACACTCCTCCATCACACACTCCTCCATCACACACTACTCCATCAGGACGTGACCTGCCCCTTGACCAGTGCAGTCAGGGTGCATTCTACCTGCCATCAGTAGCTGACAGCTGTGTTGTCAGATCAATGTCAACATCACAGTGTGCTCAAACAGCTTTTGTTTTGCTTAACAGTAGCCTCCAAGCTTGAGACCAGTGAAGGGACAATTCAGATGTGCCAAAGAGAACCAACTTAACTGCTTCTTTGGGTGAAAGGTGAAAATGTATCAGGTAGTTATGTATGTGTAGGAAAACCTAGTGGGTGCAAGTTTAGCACTGCCTGTGGTTGGCAGCATCCCTGATGATGATGATGATGATGATGATGAGGAGGAGGAGGAGGAGGAGGAAACTGGGAATAGAACCCAAGCTTCTGAAGATGTTAAAGTCTGTTGTTAAGTTTTCTCCCAGCACTATGAACTTCTGTGTCTCAGTGCCGCCTCCGGGCCAGCAGGATGGCCTGGTGCAGGGGTAAGTGTGCTTTAAGGATGCTTTACTGACCCCGAGCCTCTTTGCACTTGCTCCTGCGCTGGGTTCTTGCGTACAGCGCCACCTGCTGGACGACCTCCAGTTGCTCTTCAATCCGTGGGAAGTGGAAGTCCGTGCATTCTTGGCAAACTGTGGCAAAATCTAAGGGATCCATCAAATATTTATCAATTCCTTATAGAAACTGAGATCTGAGACACTGAAGACTGTAAATATGATTTGTTTTGGTAATAACTGTGCATTAAGTTATAGAGTACAATGACTTTCATCAACACTTTATTCCTAGGAGTAAAGAATCAGTACAGAACATTCTAATACAGCTCCATGTCATCTTTAAGTAGCAAACAATGAGCTCTGTAAATGATAAGAAGTGTGGTTCTGTTTAATTTGGAAGGAACAGGAGACACTGGGTAAACTAAGGTCACTCAGCAGGACTTGCTTCTAAAACGAAAAATGTATTTATAGCTGGATTATTATTTGTAACTGCAGCCTGAAATAAGAATCTTCTTCTATAGGAGCAGCAGACATGATGTTTTAGAACGAACTAAATATCACTGAGCTGTAATGAATGTCAAAGTAGTCAGGGCTGTGTAGTTTGTTTACTGTTCACTTTAATTTGAAATGGCCAGGATGAGGTATGTTTGCGGCTTGATGTACTGAAACACATAAAACTGCCGAGTTATTCATAATCCCTTCATAAAAATGGTTTTACTTGAAAACTGGGTGTAGTGGGTCATATCTGTTATTCCAGCACTTAGAAAGCAAAGGTAGGAAGACTGTTTTGAGTTCAAGATCAGCGTGGACTACAGTGTGAGATTCCTCTACAAAAATGGCATTACTAAGCGAACCTGAATGGGAGATGTATGTACAGCATCTGCTTACCTCTTTTGATGCCACTGTATGAATTGATTCGATTATCTACTAGTAAAACCAGGCCACAGAGAGATGTGGAGTAGAGTGACAGTGCTGTCTGGAGCCGGTGGAGCTTCACACCACTCCCAGGAGTTCTTTTATGCTTACAGAAGTCCAGCATGTCTGCCCGCAGCAATCGCAAATTGTGCATGGTCTTCAGCTGGGCTCCTAGGGATGAACAAGTTACAGAAAGATACTGAAACAGCTACAGAAATCCTGTAACAAATGCGAACTTCGGTGGCAAGATAAATCCATATTCCAAATAATAACTTGCTGTGGATATCGCTCTATATAAATAAATCACTGATGGCCAGTGACCAGACAGGAAGTATAGGCGGGACAAGGAGAGAGGAGAATTGGGGAAACAGGAAGAAGGAGGAGAGACACTGCAGCCACCGCCAGGACAAGCAGCATGTAAAGACGCCGGTAAGCCACCAGCCACGTGGCAAGGTATAGATTTATAAAAATGGGTTAATTTAAGATATAAGAACAGTTAGCAAGAAGCCTGCCACGGCCATACATACGGTTTGTAAGTAATATAAGCGTCTGAGTGATTATTTCATACGTGGATTGTGGGACTGCGGGGCTTGGTGGAACCTGGAGAGAAGCCCTCCAGCAACAATAACTAAAAATGGGCCCTTCAATGTCCCATCTATCATAATTTTTCCGCAAATATCTAAGCTAAAACACAAAACGCATAGCACACAAACCCTAGGCTTTCGTGGAGAGGGATGCGATGTGAAATTAGAAATAACGGTCTATTCTGCTCCCATGCCTGGATTTGTCTGAAGTTCCTCACAGCTATTAAAAGAGCGTCCATACCCAGGTGAATAGTGAAGCTCTCTTCCAGTTTCCTCTGCTCCTCATAAATCCTCCCAACGGCATCTGCAGTCTCTCTGAACTGGCTCGGCTGGACTTTAATTTCCTCACTGAAATGAATACAACGACTGTTAGGCTCTCACTGCAGATTCATCCGAATTTTTCTATGAGGAAAATAAGTTCTCCATGAAATGAGAGAGAACTGAACAGCTGACAGCAGAGCTTACTTTATTCCTAAACTCATCTTTAATCCATGGTGACAAGCCACCCATAAGCAGCAACAGGTTCTCAAAGCCCCACTTGTCCTTCCATTTCCTCACAGTGAGCAATGTGGATTATTCTCTTCAATCATTACACTATCAACTGACACATCACTGCTTACTGTTTCCTGGCGGCTTAAAAATGATTCAGGGAGGAACAAGGTTCCTCAGGCTCCCCGCGGCGCGGATTCGGAACTGGAGGCAGGGGGGCCTGACGACTGCGCTTGCGCAGAACTGGGGCGTGGCCGAGAGGACCCGGGGGCCGGAGAACTGGCAAAGCTGGAGCTGGAGTGCGAACCGGAGTAGCCGCCGGGCCGCCACTGCTTGCACCATCCTACACCCTGCCAGGCGCCCGAGGCCCGGGGACGCACGAACCCAGGCGGGGAGGGCATCTTCTCTGGATCAAGCTATGGTGAAAGATGTTTCGCAAAGGCAAGAAGCGGCACAGCAGCAGCAGTTCCCAGAGCAGTGAGGTCAGCACCAAGAGCAAGTCCGTGGATTCCAGCCTTGGTGGTCTCTCTCGATCCAGCACCGTCGCCAGCCTCGATACCGACTCCACCAAAAGCTCAGGTGTTAAAGGCTGGTTGTGTTGTACTTCCTTAGCATGGCAGGTGTCAGAAGTGGTTTGTGGGAGTTTCTGAACTGGCTAGGTTTTGTTGCCATCTGATAAGGGACCTCTGACATTATTCTACATATACTTAAAAAAAAAGAAGTTGGGACAGGGATATTCAGACCCAGCGGCAGCCGGCAGAGACATTCAGGCCCAGCGGCGGCCCACAGAAGTAGACGGGCCCAGCGGCGGCCCGCTGAGGTAAACGGGCTCGGCGGCAGCGGCCGACAGGGACATTCAGGCCCGGCAGCAGCCGGCAGAGACATTCAGGCCCAGCGGCGGCCCATAGAGGTAGACAGGCCCGGCGGTAGAGACAAGCAGACGCAGGTAGGCCTGCGGCGGCGGCCCGCGGAGGTAGACGGGCCCAGCAGCAGCCCGCTGAGGTAGACGGGCCCAGCGGCGGCAGCCGACAGAGATATTCAGGCCCGGCGGCAGTCGGCAGAGACATTCAGGCCCAGCGACGGTCCACAGAGGTAGACAGGCCCGGCGGCGAAAACAAGCAGATGCAGGTAGGCCTGTGGCGGCGGCCTGTGGAGGAAGACGGGCCCAGCGGCAGCCCGCTGAGGTAGACGTGCAGCGGCCGACAGGGACATTCAGGCCCG